AGTGAGGTAGTCACTGAATCAGAAACTAAGTTAAAACTTTCACTAATTAAATGCAGCTCTTCATGTAATAGCGCCTCTCTTCCTTGTCACCTACCTGCCTTACTACCAGCACATGATTCAATGGTACAGAGAGAACAGAGCACTAGGTAGGAAAGAACCAATTCCATGAGTAATTCTAAACTGGTCATGTTTCATTCCTTCCAGCTTGCTTTATGAAAGAGAAGGCCCCTTAAAATGTCAAAAGAACCAAGTTACTATTCTAGACAAGAACTACAGCAGCAGATTGGTGAGAAGGGACAAGTCCTCAGGCATCCCTCCGTGGGCTATGTTATTATCTCTAAGCAGTTTGACGCTTTTGAAGTCATCAGAAACTTACTCTCACTACATCAGCTCTGGGTAATTGGGATGGTAGTGATAATCTAAACTAGTAAGCGGAAGTCCCCAAAATCACAGGCCTGGAGCCTAGAGTTGTTCTATGTTACTGAAAACCTAAAACCTGAGTGTGATAGCCTTCCTATATCTTGCACAGTGGAGGCAGCAGCACTAGTTCTAGCTCCAACACCATTGCAAGTCTGGTCTCCGATTGTGGACTGCAGAGAACAAGACTCAAGCTACCAGGTAGAAGGTACGGAAAGGAACAAGTCTACTCCCAACTGGCAAGACTCCCTATCAACTAAGATCCTGAATAGTAATAATAGATCCTGTCTGGTTTGCCCACTAGACAAGAGCTGTAGGGCTATATGTAGAGGATGTTCTAGTTATCTCCACTAAATGACTGGGTGACACAGTGACATAGATAGCACTTGCTCTTGAGCCCATGCTTCCTCAACCAAGGTCTACATTCCTGTAGACTCCTCTATAATCATCTTTTAAGCCTAACACATTTCCTTCTCTGAAATCACCTAAGCATTCCAATTGATAATATTTATGGAAAGTAGTCTTGCGGATTCCATGGTGACAGCTCACATGAGACCTGCCACATCATAATGCCCTGAAATATTTTAATGCAAAGTCTTTGAAATCCACAGGTCTCAGCTTGAGGCACAGGGACAGAAAAGATGTTGGCACAACACTTTTTTTCTTTCTCAATGCCACCTTAAAATTATTTCTCTCTTTCTCCTCCTGCCTCATACTAGGGGCTGAACTCAGAGGCTTCATATAGTTTTGAGATAAGGTCTTACTAAGTTGGCCAACTTGGGCTGGAACTTGCGCTCCTCCTGCCCCAGCTTACCAGAGTCCTGAGATTACAGGTGTGAACCACCACACTCAGCCTCTGTTCTCTATTTTTTCTCATCTGCCTCAAATGTCATTTTTTTTTTAGCTTTTATAGGGTTATCTCCTGAGGTCAAGGACTTAGTTTTTTGGACAGTTTTATGATCTCTTCTACTTAACATCATAGAAATCATAAGCCATAGTGATAACAAGAACTGTGTTTTCATACAAAAACAGCCATTGCAAACCACTAGCCCTAAACTGACATCTGAAATCAATAAGGCACTCTACTGGATTCTACTTTTGTCTAATAGAAAAGCTGAAGGACAGTTTTGCTTTTCATATTATGCACACAGACATCCATTCATATGGCATGTTTTCTCCACATTTTGGGATATCTGGTATGTGATGAATTTGTCTATGGAATTATAACCTCATGAAAAGAGATCACCATTTTCTGCTGAGATGAACTTAACTGCAGTGGGTGTGAATGGTGCTGCTATAATAATTAAATTCAAAATCTTTCATAATCCTGTGCTCTCCCTAGAGTAATTTTCAGCATTAGCCAAGGATGAAAATGCAAACAAGTGCATGTATATTCAATAATAAAGCTTAATAGGTCAGGGAAGGAGTGGAATGAAATGAATACCTAATACCTCCTGAGATAACTAGGTAGTTTTTGCCTTCCTAGTTACTTCCTTGACTTGTATTTACTAGGACCTACATATGTACATCAAATTGTCCTTTATTACAACCACATCCATACTGGCTTTAATGCATTGGGGGAGTGTTAATGTCCATCACTATGTAGATTGCCTGCCTATTTCCAGAATTGCACATTGGAAGGCATTTGATTTCCATGTTGAAATCATACAGCATTGATTGAGGAATGAAGTAACTGTTGAGTTTGAGCTCTGCTGCTGTGCTTCTGAGTGGGTTCATTCTACTTGAAGGACAGTAAGCTAGAGACCATAAGCTCATTTTTAGACCCAGCCTTGAAATGGTGGTAGACATTTTCTGATTCACCATGGCCTACCTTCCAATTGTTCAGCAAATTCACATGAGAGGAGGTAGGGTGCACCAGAGACTTCCCCTTGTGAAAATTGGTTAATTGTATTAATGATGTCCATTGATTTCCACTAAGATGGCATCTTTCCAAACTAATGATAGCTTGCATTCATTTTGTGTTTTCATAAAGTATTTCACATACATTAGCTCTTGTTATCGTCCTCCTGTGACATAGCCAGAGTATTATTTCTCCAAACAGAGGAGGCACACAGGTGAGCCTCAGAGATTATGTGTGACTTGTCCAAGATATCAGAGCTTCTGATTAGCCTACAATCCACCATGTTCATCTGGTTTCTTGGTTTTTTTGGCATTCTGTTAATTTTACCTAATGCACTGTTCTCTAGAAGTTGTAATCTCTAGACAGACATTACATACTATTAAATTCTGGCTAGAGATGGTCTGGGTCCCATGTTTGCCTCCATGATTTCTAGCTGTGCGGTCATGAGCAAGTTCTCTAACTGCTCTAAGCCTCAGAGTCCCAGTCTGGAAAATCGGGCTAGAAAGAGACTTTCTTCATAGGGTCACTGTCAGCACTAAATCCTGTGCAGCTGAGAAGTACTCAGCACTTTTTCTGAGTCCACTAATTGTAGGACTCTTTCATCATTTATTTATTTTAACATTTAGATATGATTGTTTTGAGACAAAGTCTTGCTATATAGTCCAGGCTGGCCTTCAGCTCACCGTGTAGACCAGGCTGGCCTCACACTCATGGCAATCCTCCTGCCTCAGCCTTTCTAGTACTTGGATTACAGGCATGCACCACCACACCTGGCTCAACACTTAGAGATAAATTATCATGTAGATAGTCCCTACATCTATTGAGATACACACACACAATAGAGAGAGAGAGAGAGAGAGAGAGAGAAAGAGAGAGAGAGGCCTTTTGTAATGATAAAGAGGTATGGTTTTTAAATATTTGATTTATATAGCTTATAAGAATGATACAGTCTTCATTTCCCACAATTTGTTATAAAGAACTATTTGTTCAGAGTCATAAGCCTGAAACTTCAAAATAAATACCAAGATACATTTGTCTCCTTGTCATCAATCTTCAAAACATCCATTAGTCTCTTGAAGGACAGTCATAAATCCCACAAATTTCGTTCATGTGAACCCAACTCTACCCATTGTCCTTCTCACTAATCATGCTTTCTCTCTCACACACACCATGCTTCTCAGACCTCAGTGAACGTATCATGGGCCTAGATGGCTGAGCGTGAAAGAGAGAGCTGAGGTCTCTTTGGAGAATTACTGGGCACCCACTCTAACCTGAACCTCTTTCTGACATAAACTTTAACATAACATTCTCCTTTATTTGTCCAAGTAGAAGCTGCATTTTCCTTTCTGACTATTATTTTCCCAGAAAAAAAACACACAGGGAGAAATCCAGAAATGAGAATTTTAGGACTGGCTATAGTATAACTAGGTGTGTAGTTCACCTCTCTGAACCTTTCTTTCTTTGTCTACAAAATGAGGCTGTGGGACCTTTATTATTCTTGGGAAGGTACTGTGATAAATACAGAGGTGAATACATTATTCCTACTACCTATCTGTGCATTAGAACTGATAGGGGAGAGGGAAGCAGTGAAAAAGTGTGGTGTGATGTAACCAGGGCTGGGAGCAAAGGCAGCAGAGAAAAATTGTATCCTTTCTGAGATAGGGGTTCTTTCTAGAAAACATTTGTGGAAAAAGTGGGAGCTGACTGAGCTGTGCAGAGGCAACAGAATGCCCTAGTTCAGGAGTGGAAATGTAGCCTTGGAGCTGAGCCTAGAAGCAAGAAAGAGGATGGCATGTGTGGGAACTGGGAATGGGTCCAAAGAGGCTGTGCCTGGGGCCCTCTTGAAGCCTGGCAATAAGGTCAAAAACTGTATTTTGTAAATGAAAATATGAGCAACAATTGATCTTTGAAGGCTGTATACCTGGAATTTTATGATAATAAGGCACCTTTCCTGCCAGAGCTCAATCCTGGAGATAGTGAGGATGGATGGCATTAGAATTAATGCCACTGTCGAAACAAAAGGCTTTGTGTGCCCAATAAACAATTTTGAAAGTGCTAGCTCATCACCCAAATCCAGACCACTCATATTTCTCAGGTACCTTGACTTAGGAGAGAAAGATTTCTTAGCTACATCATGGGCTTATATCTCTTGGATCAAGTTTTTCAGGAAGAGATGAGTCATATATCAAAAGGTTCATGACCAGCCATTTCTCGCTTGGTTCTCTCATGGCCACTGAGCTGCCCAGTGCAAATCCACCGGGACTTTAGTCTGCCATGCAAAGAGCCCCAGCAAGCTACACCAACAGCATCTAGAGCTGTGGGGTATTAGCAAGGCCATATTCTTGCCTGGCAGATTCAGAGCACCCTGTCCTGTAAGGATCCAATGCCATGTCCCATCTACAAAGTGTTTGATCAGTACATTTATTGCACCTTTTTGTAGTCCTAATATATAGACTCCAGCAATCTCTGGAGATGCTGAAATAGTCTTTTTCACCCCTTGATTTAGGAGTATGTAGAGGGGGAAGCTGTGTGCAGAGTATGACATAAATATAAGAGCTCAAATATCTAATTAGCTGAAAGAATCTTGGTTCCCTCTGCACCTTTGACGGAATTGCAGCTGTCAGATTGTAGCTTCAATATTTTATCTGCCTCACAAGATGTATCCGAGGATGATTTAGAAAAGACATGTTCAAATGTGAACGCCACTCTGATTTCTCTGCAGGATGCTCGAAGATGACCTAAAGCTGAGCAGTGACGAAGATGACCTCGAGCCTGTGAAGACCTTGACCACTCAATGCACAGCCACGGAGCTTTACCAGGTAGGAGCTGCTTAGGGGTGGTTTGGGAACTGAGGAGAGGAAGTAAAAGAACTAGAATGGTTTTGCCAAACACAGGCCATCTCTATGCTTTATCTCTGGGCTTGGGAGAAAGGAAAAGGAGCAAAGAAGGGCCAAGCATTCAGAAACAGGTCCATTCAGCTCCTGCTTTCATGAAAGCTACAGTAAGGAGATGGAGCGCTCCCTGAAACTGCTGGCCCTCCCCTTCTCTCTCTACTTTCCCTGCACAAATACGGGTCATCAGTTACTAATAAAGACTGTGTTTCCCTCCCTTGAACTGCCGATTGTCTTGGGTGAGGACTAACTTTCATTTGGGGACTCCACAGGGTGGACTGGAGCCCACACTCATTAATTAGGTATAAATGTGACTGCTCCATTCAGCTGTCCCAGATGACCCACTTCCGAATGCAGCCGCAAATCAATACCTCACACCTCGCAGCTTGTACGAACCTTCAGGCAGGCAGTATTTGGCAAAAATATACTGCTGCATTTGTTTTCTCCCATTCTGCATTCTATAAGTATTTCCGGTACTTTTCCAGCAAAGGAGACAGCAGGAGTATGTGCTTTTAGCACTTTCAAAGAGAGCAGACTTCTTGGTTTGAAAAGGCCATGGTAGTATTTATGACTCACGAGAACAAGAGTGTTGTGAGGTATCAATGTTGCCTGTGTCTTTTCTCTGTGAGGGAGGTCTTTATCGAATGTGGGGTGCTCCTGAGTGTGCTGGTGACCTCGAATAAGGAATGGAGAAGAATTATGTAGTTTTGGTGATGTGTAAAAAAGTGCACCTTGTCATTTGCTGTGGGCTTGCTGTACATTGATGGAATGCAGTCTCCCTCCTCCATGAGCTGTGGACTTCATAGCAAATGTAAAATGCACAGTTAATTTCCAATCATTTCTGCTTTCTGCATTTTACACATCACTGACAAGATCATGAGATTTGTAAATAAGACAAAACAAACAAACAAACAAAACAACCTAGATCATCAAATTTGACAGATGCAGCGTTACCTTTTAATGGAAATGTTTTACGCTGACTTCAACAATAAGTGAAAGTATATTTTACACATTGACTTCCTCCTCTGTGTTATTATGTAAATGCACTCTGCTTTTTGGCTCATAATGTTAGTTTCTGTATTTACCTTAATAAGCACCATCAGGCCCACTGGCCTGAATCAACCGGGTTTCCAAGATAGTTGTGCTGCTGTTGTGGAAAAGCTGAGACCCTCAGATGAACAGGATTAATGAGTCAGAACCTTGCCATGATCTGTTGCCCATAGACCAGTTACATCCTCCTCGACAAGGCTTAGGGCCTCACCATTCGATGGGGAAACTGAACTAGTACGTTCAAGGCAAGCAAGACGACAACCTGTTCCCTCTAAGTGAGTCCACAAAGTGACAAGTGGGCACAAGGTTGCAGTGTCTGCAAATAAGTCATCCCTAGAGAGTTTGCAGACTGGTTAAAAGGCTTGCAAGGCTGTACACTTGTGGAGTAACGGCAGCAATAACGGTAGCAACGTTTTGGTGCATTCTGGCTGCATGAGGCCTAGCATTGTCGTCCAAAGTTGTGTCAATTGGTGTCATTTTCTCTTTTTCTTTATTGTAGTAAAAGTCACATAACAGTGGTGCAGTGGTATTTAGTACATTCACAGAGCTGTGCATCTACTACCAATTTCAGAATATTCTCACAATCCTAAATGAAAATTCCGTAACCATTACGCAGTTACTTCTCATTCCCCCTTTCTTTTAGCTCCTGACAGCTACCAATCTAATTTTTTTCCCATAAATTTGTCTCTTCCACATAAATGGACTCCCACAATACGGGCCCTTTTATGTTTGACTTCTTCCAACTACCCATAATGTTCTCTAGGTTCTTCTATGTTGTACCATGTAATAAGACTTAATTCTGCTTTATGGCTGAGTAATATTCCATTGCATGGATCAAACACATTTTGTTTATCCATTCATCAGCTGATAGATGTTTCAATTGTTTCTGCCTTTCTGCCATGGCTAATAATGCTGCAATGAGTATTTGAGTATAAGTTTTTGGCTGTTTAACATGTGTATCTAGAGGAAGAATTGCTAGGTCCTATTGTAAGTTTCTGTTTACCTGCTTGAGGAACTGCCAAAATCATTTCCATTGAGCTAAAATAATGCCATGTAAATTATAAAATGCCGTTCCCTTGTCTTCTAATTGTAGCAGTCATATATCCAGCAACATCAAGATGGGGTAGACTGAGGCTCCCATTTTTGGAAGAACCTTTGCTCTGTACTATGCACAAGTTAGATGTTTTGTTTCAGTCACACCTCTGAATAAACCTTAGAGGTAGTTTTGGGACTCCTGTCTGAGCAACAAGATTGTACAGTCATTTCCGTTTGTCACACAGAACGATTTAGGGGGAATATACAAGCACATTCATAGTGATACGCCCAAGGGGTCTGACCATACCATTGGTCTGAGCCGACATGATACTTAGAAGCATTCTCAGAACCCAGTGGCTGAATTCATGCTGGCACAACATAGCTGATAGAAGCCATTCACAGTTTGGCAACATCCTCAAATCATCTCATTCATAGTCCTCTCACCCTGACACATGTGAGAAAACTCAGGTTGTCCAGGTTGAGAGAGTATACATCAGTCTTTTTCAAAAACAGTTCTTAAGCTCTTGTGCTATAGTTGGAGCTTAAATAATCCTAAGAGAATGAGTTTCGCATGGATTCTCTGTGAAGATGGAACACATATCAGGTTCTAATTTGGCATTTCAGTACTAAGTATCTCACAATCAGAGCGACCCTCCCTTTTCCTGCCCAACTCTGGCCTTTTCCATGGCAGCATTAGCCATTCTGAGCGGCAGACAGGCCCTGTGCACAGAAACCAAAAGAGCAAACATTATATGTTCAAAAGCTAAGTATTACCTCCTCAGACAGGAATATGAAGCATGAGGCAAAAGGGGAGAATTATAATATCCAAGACTGCAATAAAACAGTTTGAACAACAGAATTCACTCATTACAATCTGAGATCCATGATCATGTATGCACATGGTTTCAGTGAGGAAGTGACAAAGATCATACACTGAAGGTACTTGCCCAAAGCTTGGGTGTTCTGTCCATCCACCTCACCTGTTGCATTTTCTTTTCATGGTTGGGTCTGCTTGGGAAGCAGACACACACACACATACACACACACACACACACACACACACACACACACACACACAGTGAG